TCTCCTTTGCCATGTAGAAACTCAACCATATTGTGTATGATCTTTGCATTCTGTCCACCTGTGAGTTCCTTCCTTGAAGAGCAAAGGTTTCATACCCCCATCCCTAACACAGAGTCTCAGTAAGAGCCTGAGCCTCAACAGAGGCTGGCCAAGTGTGCATAGACAAGCCTGTGGGTCTTTAGGATCAAAACACTGAGTGCTGCCTCCTCTAGGGTCTGAAATGGAAAATATGGATCCATATCCTATCACTCCAGTCCTAGTTGGTAACCGTGGAATTTTGAGCTCTGTTCTTTAAACACCTTAGCTTTCTTTTTAATAACAAAAGTAAGCCAGGCATGATGGCACACACCTGTAATACTAGCACGCTGGGAGGCTGAGCAGAAGGATCTCAAGTTCAAGACAATCCAGGACAACTTAGCAACTTAGCAAAATCCTGTCTCAAAATAAAAAATAAAAAGGGGTGAGGATGTAGCTCAGAGCAAATGCCCTGGGTTTAATCCCCAGTACTGCAAATAACATATGACCTATGCTCACAATGTAAAGAAGAATGCAAAAATTACCCATACTCTCATAACCCAGGGGTACTTATTGACTTTTAGGCATAGCTCCTTCAGATATTTTACTGTTCATGTATATTTAACATAATGAGTTTCCAAATTCTGATAAATTCAATTCCACAAATATTTTATTCTTTTATTGATTTATTTAGCAGTACTAGGGATTGAACTCAGGGTCTTTGCACTGAGCTACACACCTCCAACCTTTTAAAAGATATTTATTTTGTGTCATGGTCTCACTAGGTTTCTAAGTTGCCTTGGCTGAGTTTGAACTTATGATCCTCCTGCTTCAGCTCCCCAGAGGGCTAGAATTACAGGGGTGCACCACTATGCCCAGCTTCAATTCCACAAATATATATCGAGCCCCTACTATATGCCAGGTACCATTCTAAGTATAGGGAACACAACACTGGAGAAAGTAGACAACGTCTCTGTTCTCAGGTACCTTGTATTCAAATCAGAGGAGATAAATATAAAATCGGAAATGATATCATACATTGGGGAGCATTAAATGTGATAGGGAAAAATAAAGCAGAGAAAGGGGATGAGAAGTGGAAGGGAGTATTTCAAGATTAGAAAAGGTGAGGGTATGACCTGTGAGACATCTTGGAAGAGCACTCCAGGCAAAAGGAATCACAAGTACAAGGGTCCCTGAATTGGAAATATGCCTACTTGTCCAGGGGACAGCAAGGAGGCCATTGCAGGTGAGGCACAGTGACCATGAGAGGAAGTGCTAAGTGCAGACTTAAAGGTAAGGGCTGGCGAGGTAGTACAGACCCTACACGACCTTGCAGGATACTATAACAACGTTGCTTTTTGTTCAAATAGATAAGCACCTTGGGGTACTTAAGTGGCTTCCAGATTTTTGTTATCATATACCATGTTTTGTAACCTTCTACACAAATCTCTGTTCATGTCTCTGAATGCTTCCCCAGGAAAAATTCCTAGAAGTTAAATTTCTTCTTGGCCACAAGTTAGGAGAACTTTGAGGTATTTCTTGCACATTGCCAAATGGATTTCTAAAGATCCTCTACCCACTAAGAGTATAATTTAAAGTTAAACAAATATTATTTGAGTACCTACTATGTGCCAGACATAGTCTACGGGCTTGAAATATATCAGTGAACAAAATGAATTTTGCATTCTAGCAATTTAACATTTGCCAGCATGTGTCAGACTGCTTATCTTACTATACCGCTTGCCAACTCCAAGTATTACCAATCTGAAAAATGCCAAGGAAAGAAGACTCCAGTAATTTAAATGATTAAAAACTGGTATGTTGTTTTTATATTGTGATTTATTTGATTTCTAGTGAGATTGAATTATTTCCCATATACTTTCTAGCTATTGAGCAAATTGTGCCCTTTTTCTTTAAAAGCTCTTTACAACCTTTCAACGTAACTTAAAGGAGGCAGAAAGTTTGGCAATATTAAAAGATTTAACATGTATCTTAGGAGATGAGTAGTCTTCAGGTGAAGTACATAAACTATAGGAATTGATCTGAAGCCAAAGACCACATACGATGCAACTACTCTTATGTTCTGAGAAAGGCTTTTCAATCTGGGGTAACCTTGGTTACTTCCAGGTACAGTAATTTGGGAATTGCTACCCCAGTGTGACTTGTCCACCCAGAATGGACTTTTCAACAATCGCATTGTTGAGTGTTCTCATTGCCCACTCTATTTAACATCAAATGTGGCTTGAAAGTTGTCATATTGTCAAACTGTATCCCTTCTTGAGGTTTTCTACTGCACAAATTTTTACTCTCCATGTGAAACAAGTCCAAGGGGATACAGAGGTGTAGCAGAAAGGACACTGGATTGTGATAAACAAGAACGACAAACTTACTCAAGTCCTCTATAAAAGTAACTTTCCAATTTCTAATAGTGGTTATCCTTGAGGAAAGAGAATCAAAAGTAAAGAGAGAGGCTTTAATTATCTTCTGTATATTTCCATAGTTTGAGTTTTCTAACCTCAGCAGGGGTGATCTGGGCGTAGAGCTAATGGCTTTTTACATTGTCTCCCTTTCTTAGAAAAAAAGGATAAAATTTTATTATTTAAAAATTTTCTCAGTTTTTTAAAACAAAATCAATGCGTATGTGTGTGCATATGTTGCATACATCAGCAAGAATGCAAACCAAACTGTTAATATATAGGCCTGATTTAAAGATTGTTTAGAGACCTAGGAGGAATAAATGAGTGTCCTTTTATTTACATTATACATTTAGATACTGTTTAAGATTATTATAATGAATATTTATTATTGTTGTACATTTTTTTTCTGTAATGGAGACTGACCCTGGGTCTTTGCACTGCTATATCTCTAGTCTTCTTATCTTGAGTCAGGGTCTCACTAAGTTGCTAAATTGTCCAGGCTGGGCTCAAATTTGAGATCCTTCTGCCTCAAGTGTCCTAGAGTGCTAGAATTACATGTGTACCCCACCATGCCCAGCTTCATTCTACGTTCTTTTCAGAAAAGAAACAAGCCATTTCCCCAAGTTTAAAGTGGCATATGCTCGCTGTGGAAAACACAGAAAAGCATAAAAAAACTAACAGTCACAAAAATTAACATTTTAGCATGTTTCCTTTCTCCCCCCCCAACAGTATATGTAACTCTTGCCACACTCTTAATTTTAGCATTCCTAGAGGATTGTGATAGATGGCCATGGTATCTCCATGTTTTTCTTTGGTAACTACCAAGACTGAACTTATTCCAGGCCGGTGATTTAGCTCAGCAGTTTGGTGGCCTGCCTCGCAAGCACAAAGACCCAAGTTCAATCCCCGGTACCAAAAAAGACTGAATTTATTTCTATGGTTATGCATCTTGGGTATGCCTGCTTATGAACTACTTGTTTCTATTTTGTCCATTTGGAGTAAAATGTTAAGAATTTTCTTATCAAGTAAAATGAGCTCTTAAGGGATATTAACTTTTGCCATATTCATTGCAAATGAAAATATTTTTCCCGTTTGTTGGTTTTTACAAATGTCTGCAGTTTTTCCAAAGAAATAATGAAACTCTAACTATAGCCCAATGGCCTCAATTTGAGCTTTTTTCCCTACGATTAAACTGAAGAGGTTTCATAATCTATTTGGAAGGGGCCTTTTCAGCTAATCCTAAATTTAGCTCTGAAAAAAAAATGTGTGGGCCTGATAAAAAGATTGTTTGGCTCGTTACACTTTAAAATGATTTGAGAAGATGGGGAGGGAGAGGGATGAAAGCAGTTTTGGCAAGAAATTTTTAGAATTCTGACGTAAGAAGCCAATTGCTTCTTCAAGTCTCTTGTGTGTTGAAAAGGGGAGTAAATTATGTGCAAGTGAACAGAATCCTTGATGGAAAAGAACCGTTCTGGGCTACAGATGTGTGCATGGCTTGGTTCTAATTATTTTCCCCTCTATCTTTTCTTTCACTTCCCTCCCAGTGCCTAATAAAAGAGAAAGCCACATTTGGCCTCTGAATGGTAGAGACAATCCTTCCTCCATAGAGACCTCTCCAGTGCACCCTGCTGGCACATCAAAGGCTGGATGAAGTACCTAGGAAAGGAGGGGTCCAAGCCTCGGGTGCGTCCAGACTCCCGCCTTTGTCTGGGCTCCAACTCAAGGTAACTGTGACTGCCAAGGGTAGCTTGACAGACTTCAAATAGAAGAATGCTGCCAAAGAAACTGTGGACATAACGGGCGGGGGGGGGCACTCAACAAGAGAATGTCACTTGCTGATGCCTTGTGACTAAGCAAAATCAGTGATTGCAAAAGGGTTTATTTTTGAGACCCTAAAGTGAGTTGAGTGATCTGATCCCCGATAATGAGCCAGCTGACAGGCCCATTGCAGTGACTTTAGCTACTCCGTGGGTGTCTGCCCCACAGCATCTGGGGGAGCGAGCGTAGGGGGATAGGTCGGCAGATGGGAGCTCCCAAGGTGAAAATAGAACTCTAAGGTGCAAAGTGAGTTTCCTACAAAGGCTCCGGGCTCCCGGGGCTGGAGGGGCAAAAAATGAAGGGGGTTCGCCCAGGAGGCGTAAGAGAAGTATGAAGAGAAATGCAGTACGCTTTAGGCGTGCAACAGGTGACCGGGAACCCCGGAGGCTAGTTAAGCCAAGGCTCACCCACCCGGTTGGGGTGCGCGAAGCAAAGGAGGGGCGCAGTGCCGAGGAGGGATTTGTGTGGTGGTGCGAGGGTGGCGTGAGGCTGGTGCAAACGCCTCTCAGGTAAGACTGAGAGGTGGGTTCTGGTCTGTGGCAATGGAGGCAGGGCCCGCCAGGGGGAGGGGAGCCTGGATCAAGGAGCTGGGGTGTCGGGTGGGGGTGAGCCTCGGCGGAGCAGGCTGGCAGGGTGCTTAGGTGGCCGCGGGGCGGGGCCATGAAGGCTCCGCCCCCTCCCGACCCCGCCTCCTCCCCCCTAGCCCTTGTTAGTCGCTGAGCCGGG